TTCTTCGGCTTCGCGGACGGCGGGCCCCGCGGCCCCGCGCCCACCGGCTCCCCGCCGCAGCACCAGTTCCACCCGGGCCGGCGGAAACGCGAGAACAAGGCCAGCACCTACGGCCTCAACTACCTGCTGTCCGGCAGCCGCGCAGCCGCGCTGAGCGGAGCGGGAGGCCCCGGGGCCCAGGCGGCGCGGCCCGGCACGCCGTGGAAGAGCCGCGCCTACAGCCCGGGCATCCAGGGGTGAGTGCGAGTTCGGGGGCAGGGGACCGGGCTGGGGCTGACGGTTACTGGAGAGGGCCGGGGCCCGGGCTGGAGAAGGGGACGGAGAGGTCCGGGGCCCGGGCTGGGACTCGAGCTGAAGCTGAGAGTGCTGGAGAGGGCCGGGGATGGGATGGGGACAGGGGAGGCTGACCTCGCCAGGTTGACAGCACTGGGACAGGAGAGCCAGGGGCAGCGCGCCTCTGTCGGCTCTCCGGCCAGGAAAGCTAGCACCTCGGGTCCGTTCCTGCGCGCTAGATCCGGTGGTATTGCTGTGTAGGCAGGGTGAGGGCAAATGCTGCTGCTTTTTTCCCTTTTTGAGAAAATCCGTTTAAAACCCAGGTAGTGATGAGGTTTCATAGTCAGGGGTTTCGGTGGGGGCGAGGTCGCATGCTAGGTTTTAATTCTGGGTGGACTCTGACCGAAAGAGCATCGTCTGGGATTCTGAAACCTGGCTAATAGCACTCGCAGTATTTTACTGAGGCCTCACTCTTTGGAAAGTGTCGTTTCCATGTTAAAGATTTCCACGTAAGCAGAGGACGCGAGAGGTTTAATGTCTGTAATGACAGGAAGGTGGCGGGTAGTGATTAGGAATTGTTCCAGGTGAGGCTTCTCAGGTGTGATGCTGTTCACTCAATCCTTTGCCTTTTATGAAATCCAGAAACAAGGTATTTGCCATTCGTTGTGGGTCTCGAGCTTTGCTGGCTGAACTCTTGCTGATCTTGAAAAGGCTCAGAAGGGTTTCCCAGGGTGGTAACGCTGCAGACACTCCAGTCCTGCACAGGCATGATGCTAGCCTTTGGGATCCCTTCTCAAAGTTAACTTCTTGGGGCTGTTTCTTTTCCGTTTGAAGTATGTGAGGGGACACAGGTACCTCTTTCAGGGGTGTGTGTGCGAGTTGTGTCGGTGGGGTGGGGTGAGGCGGTCACAGCCGCAGCTGCAGTTTCTGCAGTTTCTGCGTTTCACCCGGCGAGTGGGTGTCCTGCCCTCCTGCTTCTCTGAGCCTGGAGCATGCACTGCAGACCCGGAGGGGCATGGTCTCTTTCAGCCTCGTTCTCCCCAGAGCTTGCTTGGACAACTTTCTGAAGCAGGTGGTGAGGAGGAGATTTTTAGTGGATGGCAGTGAACCTGAGGGAGGTTTCCAGACTGTTACATAACTGGAATGGACACAGAGTCTCTGCTGGAAAGAAATGAGCTGTGGTCTTTGCTGTAAGACAGTGATTTGGCCCCTGACATTCAGAGTTCTGCTTCTCTCCTTTAGAAATGGCAGTATTATCTGCCCCTAAGTGCTGGGCTCTTGAAGTGTTCTCTTTGGAGAGTGTAAGCTTCTGATCAGCTGCTTATGTTGTCCTTTGCCTTATTTCTGTGTGCGCCACTGTGGCCAGGTAAGGTTCCAGGGGCAGAGTTGGCATAGGTGACACGCAGTCTTACCCCCAGCCTGGCTCCCCATCTGAGTACCTCTTCTGGTGCACACTTGGCTCCTGTCACCCCCTCTGTCAAGTCCAGTCATTGATCAGTTGCTGTCTCCTTGGCCCATGTGTTTCTCTCTGTATCAGGCATGTCATAGTCACCCCTCATGGGGCCTGTCCAGGCAGGCCAGGCCTGTGGCTTCTGTGCACTGTGCCTGGGCCCCTTCTCAGCATTGCTAGGGGGATGCGGTTCTGCCACCTCCCAGCCTGATGGTGTCTTCTACACACATCCTTAAGAGGTCAAGGCCTGAAACTTCGTGGTGCTTGGGCTGTGTTACTGTCTGCCCTGAGCCCTGTCTTGGTTCCCCATTCATTTATTTCAGAGCAGTATGCTGCAGGGCTTAGGAGAGGGCCTGGCCTTGCCGGAGAACTGTTGGAGACTGATTACTGATGGGTGAGGGAGAGTAGCCCCTGCTTAAGCGCTCTAGATAGGCTGAATAGACTCCAGTGGATGAACTTGAACCCAAGGCCATCTGGGTAAAATGCTTTACTGGATAGGACTTAACATGTATGGCAGAATACATGATGCCTTGTTGAGGGGGGGCACGGATGGGGGAGGGGATCTTGATTAAAAACTGTTGTATGAAATGTACAAAAGCTCAATAAAAATTAAAAAGGGGATGTGGGGGAGGTGGTACCCCATGCTCTGAGAAGCCTCCTCTTTCTGTGCCTGGTGACGCTCCTTGCCCGTGTCAGGTAGCATGTGCCATGCTTCCTTTAGGTGGCCAGCCCTGGAGGAGCCTGCTGGCTAGCTAGCTGACTTGCCTGGGAGGGCAGGGTGCCTCCATCTGCTCCCTACTCCGCTTTCAGAGGGGTGTGGAGGGAGTAGAAAACCAGAACAGCAGTGGGGCTGGGCCTGTGTGGTAGTGTGTCCATGTGGCCCATTGGTTTTATGTGAACTGACCTTGGGACATCAAGAATGAGACCTGCCTTAAGCTTGTCACATCTGCCAGCTTGCCTAGAGCGCTATGTGAGGCCAGCACCAAGCCTTTCTCTGTGGCTTAGCAAGAGACAGAACTAAGGTAAGTATTCTAAGGGTGGTCTAGCCAACAAACAGCAGAGGGCTGGTTGCTGAGACGTTGCTGACTGACTTTCTGGTCTCAGGATACACCTTTCAGAAATGACTGTGTGCAGACCTCAAGAAAGGGCGAGTGGTTGCCTGGTTGTGGTGGGAGTCTAGGTAGCCCTGCTGAACCCAGCTGGGTGTCTGCCCGGTAGCCCATGTGGCCCCAGCGCCCTTCGTCCTTTCCCGGAAGGAGTTTCTGCCCTTGGAAATGGCTTGGTAGCCTGGGCTCATGGGACTACTAGGTTACTTTCCACCTTGAGTAGGATGAAGAAAAAGCAGGTGAAAGAGGACCAGGCTCCGTGCATGAACTCAGAGTGGAGGATATGAAGTTCTTTTGTGGGAGCTGCTCTGGGCTCCGGTTTGAGTTGATCCGGGACAGCCTTTGTTTTGGGAATGGTGTGCGTGGTCTTCAGACATGACTCTGCCTGGGCTTTTGGCCTAGAGATGTGGGCAGGAATGGGCAGGCTCTCTGGAACCTCTCTTTGTCTTTTTAAGCCACTTTGACCCCTGAGCCATCACCTCTGACCCAGCGGGACAGTTGCTTTGTGCCCTGGTTGGTCTTAGTGGCTTTGGAAACCTCCTCAGGCCTAAAGGTAAAGAAGAGGCTATGCATGGAGGGTGGGAATGTGGCCCTCATACCCTTGGCTGCATCCTTCCTGGTGTTTTCCAGCAAGACTGCAGTTGGGCATGGGAAGACCCCAACCTTTGCACACCCCCACAGCCCAAGTCAGAGTTGAGCATGGTGAAGGCTTTCCAGGTGTGTCTGTACTGCACAGCAGTCTCGTGCTATCCCTGATAAACCATGGCTTGCTCAAGCTGACAGGGCTTTCCAGGAAAAGGCCAGCTCTCTTTTTGGAAAAGGAAAGCTAGGCCGTTAAGCAGGTTGACATGGTCCTTTGGAAAAATTAGAGGCCTTAGGGTAGCTCAGTGGTAGAGTGCTTGCTTAGCCTGTGCCAGGCTCTAGATTTGGTTCCTAACACCAAGGAGGAAAGAAGCAGAAAATGAAAGGCTTTGAGTGCATTTTCTTTTTTAAAATTTTATTTATTATTTTTATCTTATGTGTATGTGTGTATTGCCTGCATGTAGGTAAGTGCCTCCGTGTCATGCAATGCCAGCGGAGGTCAGAAGAGGCTGTCGGATCCCTGGGACTGGAGTTGTTAGCTGCCATGTGGGTGCTGGGATTCGAACCTAGGTCTTCTGCAACAATAACCAGTGTTCTTAACTGCTGAGTCATCTCTCCAGCCCCCTGAGTGCTTTTTTTAAAAGAGACTTCAGGGCTGTTAATCTTGCTGCCATGAGCTTTTGGTGGAAAGCAGTGCTGTCTTCACTCAGAGACAACACGGTTGTGGCTTAGTTTTGACTTTAACTATCGTTGGTGTTTATTATCATTCATTTACTTACTTTCATTGAGGCATTTTGATGACGGCCGTACGTAAGACCCCAGCCCCGAGTCTCCTCGGCGCTCTCTTCCTTGTGTTTGCCCTTTTCCTTTCCTATTTTGGAGATTTGACTTTCCGTTCCAGGATCTTTTTGTGGTCTTTGCCCAGCTTTAGCCTGGCGATCACCTTGCTGGGGTGAATGCCCCTGTGGACAGTTGTACCATTAGCCTTTTCCCTGCTCATTGTAGCTGACGTATTTCTTCCTGTTAGCCTGGACCACTTTGCTGATCCGCTGGCCTTTGTAGTGCCGTCCTACAACCTGAACCTCATCACCTTTTCGAATGGGCAGAGACTGAACACTGTGTTGTCTCAGCTCTTTGGAAAGAGGGGAGGTGCGTACCCTTACTCCCAGTGTAAGAAGGTGCACTGAAATGCCTTTTTTGGTTCTTGCTTCTGCCAGAAGTCACACAGGCACTGAACTTCACTTTGGTGGGCACCACTCCAGCCATGGTCGCAAAAGGGAAGCTATCACTTATTTTTAATGTATGTGTATGTATGTATGTACCTCTGAGAGTTTATGTGCACCATATGTGTGCAGGTGCCCAAGGAGGCCAGAAGAAGGCATTGGGGCCCCTGGAACTGGAGTTACAGGTGGTTGTGAGCTGCCCAGTGTGAGTCCTAGAACTGAGCCCAGGTTCTCTGTGAGAGTCCTTTGCAAGAGTAGTAAGTCATCTTAATAGCTGAGCCATCTGCAGCCCTTTGAATATTGTAAAGAGCATAATTTAAATACTTTTATTTCCAAAGTCTATGCTATTTCTTATCACAAATGTGAACTTTTGGTCATCTTTTATATTTTTATGTGTTTGAGTGTACTGCCTGCATGTATGTAAGTGCACCTATGTTGTAGAATGCCCAAGGAGGTCAGAAGGGGGCATCCGATCCCTTGGAACTAGAGTTGTTAGCCACCACGTGGGCACTGGGAACCAAATCTAGTCCAGCCATCTCTCCAGCCCCATTGGTCATCATCTTATGTGGATCCACGCAACTGGCCTGTGGGAGCAGGAGAAC